TGGTCTGATTTTTAGAATTTTTTTTAAAAAATTAAAAATTAATTTGGTTAAGAAATAAAAAATAAAAAATAATTATCATTTAAGGGTAAAAAATAATTACCATTTTAATTTTTGGGCATGTTATATACATATGTATGACTGTTTCAATTTAATTTGTAAAAAAATATTTCTAATCACTCAAAAGATAAAAATAATATAAAAATGATAATCATTTTTTATTTTTTATTTCTTAACCAAATTAATTTTTAATTTTTTAATTTTTTTTCTAAAAATCAAACCATACATAGCCTAAGAATCTTTTGATAAATCATTTCTTACGTTAGTAACTTATTTATTATTTGTTAATTTTACAATATTTTTACTATCTGAAGCCTGTTTGGTAACTATTTCATTTTCAGTTTTCAATTTATATTTACAAAAATTTTAAAAACTGTCATAAAAATTTGTTTGATAATTTTTTGGGTTTATAAATGGATGTCTCAATTTGTAAATTTGAGGAAAAAATGTAAATTCAAAAAATGTATTTACGTTGATTTTTAAACAAAAATTTAAAAATTTACTAACAAAATTTTGTTTCAAATAGTTTTTTTCCAATTAAATTTTTTTTTCAATGAATTTTTTTTCCAACTAATACTAACCGAGGAGGCAATTGGTAATACTACTTTAAACCTTAAGGAGGGGATTGTAATTTTTAAAATGTGAGGGTTGTCAATGTAATTTATCCAGTGACGGCAAAATTGGTATTTAAAAAAATTAAATTGCTAAGGGGGAATCTGTAATGAAACTTTAAACCTTAGGGGGAGATGTAATTTTCAAAAGGTGAGGGAAGAATTGTAATAAATATAAACCTCAGGGATGTCAGTGTAATTTATCTAAAGGTTTAAGTAATCATTAGAGATGATCTAACACACTTAAAAGTTGATAAGATCAATCATCATTTAATATGGAACCCACATCAATTTATGAGTGTATTAATAAATGTGTTTACATTCCTAGCATTTTTCTACTATTTTCTCTTTTAAAAATAGTACAAAAATTCCTTTTTTAAAGGAGTAAGTAAAACATTTCAAAATTAAAGAGTAAAAATACAAGTTAAAAAATAAGGAGATAACACTATGTTTGGATTGAGTAATTTGGAGAGAAAGGAAAAGAAATGAAAATATATGTATTTCTGTTACTTGTTTGGATAACTTAAATGGAGAGAAACCTATTTATCTTATTACTCGCATTTTCAATCTTCTTAAAAGTAGATAGATTGGAAGAGAAAAGAAACCATCAGATTCTTATATTTTTATAATACCAATTTTGTCCTTGTAAAAATAAAAAGAATAAAATGATTGACATCCATGTCCTCAATATAAAAAGGTTATTTTGATAATATAACATAAAATAAATTTTTTTTATTTATTTTTATGAAATCTAATCAAATAAGAAAGGGTAAAACACCATTACACCATTAAATCCCAAATCAATGTTTGTTGCACCATTTAGTCCTACAATTTATTTTATAGACCGATAGGTCCTACTAAAATGGTAAAGACATTGGAGCCCATAGTGTTAGCACATGTCTTGCAAGTTGCAGGGGTAATTGTGGGTTTTGTTGATGTTAAATTTACTAAATTGTCCATAAAGCCTACTATAGTGGTCTTCTGGGGCTTCTCTCTTGCTCAATCAAAACGTATCTAAGGAATTTGAAAAGTTCTGGAACTTTCATTACTTTGAAATCCATTGCTAGCAACGTTAATCATTCGAGAACATTCCCAAAATTAACATTTGTGCCCTCCACCCAAACCCTAGAAATTCGAAACCCCCATTTCGTATAAACATTGCCATAATTGTGTGGAGCGTACATTGAAACATTGTGAACCGTAGTTTACAGTGATGTGGTGTTATCAGTGAGATCGCTTCATCCCGTAGTCTACGTTAGTGTTGCGGTCGTGGTTCCATGGTGTCAAGTATGTGGGTTAAGATGTGTTTGTGCGTTTTTGGTTTCTGAATGAACATTGAGTTGTATGACATTTACCTACAAATTTGGTTTCGACTGCGATTCCAGTAATGGTGTGGACTAGTTTGAATAGTGCTGAATGTTAAAGGCATTGTGGGTTTGTAAATGTATTGAGCTAATAGTGGTATGGAGTACTGGTGTTTATGTTGGTATCTATGGTGGTGTTACTGTGGAGGGAGGGGTGGCCCCTGTTTTGTGTATGTGTTAATGGTTGGTGGGTTTTTATTATTATTTTTTCGTTAATGTTGTAGTTACTGGCACAAGTGTGAAATATGTATTGGGGTGTGTTGGGCAATTCGTGTGTAATGTGTGATCATTGGTGTGTGATGTTATAAGTGTGTAATGTTAGGTGATGTCGTGGTGGTCGTGGTCCCCTGTTTACAAGTCTACTAATGCTATGAGTGTGTAATGTTAGTTTTTTAATGTTATTTTCAACGGATGTATACAAAATGTAAGTATTGAATAAAGTCCCGTAACATCGTTGTGAGGTACGTTATGTGTTTAAGAATTGAAGAATGTGTCGATATCAGGTACGGTGTAATAGGAATAACAACTTTTGTGTGATCACATGCATGGTTTGTAACAAACACCCAGATGAGCCGACGATGTGATGTGCACTCACATCATACCAACCAACTCACCATATAATGTGACTGAAAAAGCAGTGGGTTGGCAGAAAACATTGAAGATGGAATTGAATTTTTTCCCTTCCCGTTGGTTCGGATCAACGGCGCATAGAACAACGTATTGATATACTGAAGTCGTCATGTGAATTCGTACACCAACACAGAGATTCAAAAAATACATATTATTGCTACGGATTAATGTTGGTTTTTGAATGTTAAAATGTTGATGAATGAATTTACTTAATCGTGCGTCATGTGAGGCAAAAGCCAATAACGTTGTTGTTAGGCATGTTATGTGTTTAGGTATAATTTCTATTTTTTTTTTGTTTTGCACTGTGGGTGAAATGTTGAACAATAATCAATCTTGTGTTGGGGGAAGTAGCATAATGTTGCATGAAATCTGGTGGGTTTTTCTGAAATGTGTTTTGGTGGCTTGGCAAGTTGTTGTTTTTTGAATGTGTCTAATGGTGGTGTTATATGTGTTGTGATTGACATTAGCCGAACCTATGACGAATGATGGTAATGGCATGCATGGTTAGTAACAAACACCCAGATGAACCGACGATGCGATGTGCACTCACATCATACCAACCAACTCACCATATAATGTGACTGAAAAAGCAGTGGGCTGGCAGAAAACATTGAAGATGGAATTGAATTTTTTCCCTTCCCGTTGGTTCGGATCAACGGCGCATTGAACAACGTATTGATATGCTGAAGTCGTCATGTGAATTCGTACACCAACACAGAGATTCAAAAAATACATATTTTTGCTACGGATTAATGTTGGTTTTTGAATGTTAAAATGTTGATGAATGAATTTACTTAATCGTACGTCATGTGAGGCAAAAGCCAGTAACGTTGTTGTTAGGCATGTTATGTGTTTAGGCATAATTTCTATTTTTTTTTTTGTTTTGCACTGTGGGTGAAATGTTGAACAATAATCAATCTTGTGTTGGGGGAAGTAGCATAATGTTGCATGAAATCTGGTGGGTTTTTCTGAAATGTGTTTTGGTGGCTTGGCAAGTTGTTGTTTTTTGAATGTGTCCAATGGTGGTGTTATATGTGTTGTGATTGACATTAGCCGAACCTATGACGAATGATGGTAATGGCATGCATGGTTGGTAACAAACACCCAGATGAACCGACGATGCGATGTGCACTCACATCATACCAACCAACTCACCATATAATGTGACTAAAAAAGCAGTGGGCTGGCAAAAAACATTGAAGATCGAATTAAATTTTTTCCTTTCAACGTTGGTTCGGATCAACGGCACATGAAACGATGTATTGATATGTTGAACTTGTCGTGAATTCGTACACCACAACGGACATTCAAAAAATAAATATTATTGCTACGGTAACATGTAATTCATGATCCGATGGAAAACGTAATAAACATGTAAATTGACATAAAAATTCAATTAAACTGCAATTGTATGACTATAAAGTAAGACTGTGCACAGGGCTGGCTTATTGTGAAATAGGTGAGGTTTGGTGGTAAATCGGCAATGTAGCCGCCGTCTATAAGTGTATCCTATGCCGCCGATTAAGCCATTCTTGGAGTTACTGCCGATTTCTATGAAACCTAAACATGTGTAGTGCTGCAAACTGAAATTGTTTATGTATTTTGGGAATATGAACTGTGTGTTTTGAGTTTTGGTTGTTGTGTTTGTGAGTGGTTGTTGTATTGACACATTACCCAATTTAATTCGCAATGTTAATTTAGGGCAAAGTTCCTCAGTGTATGTTGCAATCGTTAATGTAGTATTTTGACATTGGTTCTTAGTAGTGATGTTGTGCTTGTTGATGTTAATGGGCTAAGTAGAAAACCTGATAACCAACCTACCTATAGAGAAAATATTTCACGATAAGAATATAACATCAAGTGGGCAACACTATCACCCCCAAAAATCACTTCGCAGATGCCTTCTTAACGGTATAGTAATGTTAACCACATACCTTATCCACACATGCCCCCTAATAGTAAAACAAGGGTACACAAGTAAAATAAAAAAACTAATATAACAAACAAATACAACATACCAAAAAAAAAGGACTAAATGGTTTAATAAAAAACATTCAGGACTAAACGGAACAACATTTTTCCATATGAGATTTATGAGTAATTTTTTCAATAAGAAAGAGAGAAATCACAATAATTTCTTTTATTTTATTTCTTACTTATCCAAATAAGAATGAAAAAAATTACAATTAATTCTTTTATCTTATAATTTAAGTAATCATTTCTTTTATTTTCTTTTTCACCAAACATAATGTAAGTGATATTAACCGATAGCTAAGGGACCTTGGTGTAATTAATCATTTATCTTTCCCTCCCTCTCCCGCTTCTAGTCTTTTCGATGGAACTCTAGGGTTTTGTACCATTTTTCAAATCTCTCTAAAACTCTCACTCATCCAAACCAGTCATGGCGTCGCCGGCAGTCCAAGCTCCACGCGCCGCCGCATCGAAGACCGAGAGCTACGTTGACAATAAACGCAAGCAAGACATTCGCCAGGCCAACATCATCGCCGCACGCGCCGTAGCAGATGCCGTCCGTACCAGCCTCGGTCCCAAAGGCATGGACAAGATGATCTCCACCGCCTCCGGCGAAGTCATCATCACCAACGACGGCGCCACCATTCTCAATAAGATGGAGGTTCTTCAGCCGGCGGCGAAGATGCTTGTCGAACTCTCCAAATCTCAAGACATCGTGGCCGGCGATGGCACCACCACCGTCGTCGTGATCGCCGGAGCTCTCCTCAAGCAGTGCCTCTCTCTTCTCAACACCGGAATTCACCCCACCGTCATCTCCGATTCTCTCCACAAAGTCTCTCTCAAGACTGTCGATGTACTCACCGCAATGGCTGTCCCTGTTGAGCTCTCAGATCGCGAATCGCTTGTGAAGTCCGCGAGTACTTCGCTCAATAGCAAGGTAGTTAGTCAGTACTCTACTCTGTTGGCTCCTCTTGCTGTCGATGCTGTTCTCTCTGTGGTTGATCCCTTAAAGCCCGATCTTGTTGATCTTCGAGACGTGAAGATTGTGAAAAAGCTCGGCGGAACTGTGGATGATACTGAACTAATCAAGGGTTTGGTTTTCGACAAGAAGGTGAGCCACTCTGCTGGTGGTCCTACTCGTGTTGAAAATGCCAAAATTGCTGTTATTCAATTTCAAATTTCGCCGCCTAAAACTGATATTGAGCAATCTATTGTGGTTTCGGATTATACCCAAATGGATCGAATTTTGAAAGAGGAGAGGAATTATATTCTGGGTATGATTAAGAAGATTAAGGCAACTGGGTGTAATGTGTTGTTGATTCAGAAGAGTATTTTGAGGGATGCTGTGACTGATTTATCGTTGCATTATCTTGCGAAAGCCAAGATTATGGTGATTAAGGACGTTGAGCGTGATGAGATTGAGTTCATTACAAAGACTCTGAACTGTTTGCCTATTGCTAACATTGAGCATTTCCGTGCTGAGAAGTTGGGTTATGCGGATTTGGTTGAGGAGGTTTCGCTTGGAGATGGGAAGATGGTGAAGATTACGGGAATTAAGGATATGGGTCAAACCACAACAGTGCTTGTTCGTGGGTCGAACCAATTGGTTCTTGATGAAGCAGAAAGGAGTTTGCACGATGCCCTGTGTGTTGTGAGGTGTTTAGTCAACAAGAGGTTTCTGATTGCTGGTGGTGGTGCACCAGAGATAGAGCTTTCAAGGCAATTGGGTGCATGGGCTAAGGTATTGCAGGGGATGGAGAGTTTCTGTGTTCGGTCTTTTGCAGAGGCACTTGAAGTTGTTCCCTATACCTTGGCTGAGAATACAGGTTTGAACCCAATTGCTATTGTCACTGAGCTAAGGAATCGGCATGCCCAGGGTGAGATCAATGCCGGAATCAATGTGAGGAAAGGGCAAATCACTAACATCTTGGAAGAAAACGTGGTGCAGCCGCTGCTAGTAAGCACTAGTGCAATCAGTCTGGCTACAGAGTGTGTGCGGATGATTTTGAAGATTGATGACATTGTTACAGTGAGGTAGATTTGATTAGTTAGAACACGACAATGTTGCAGGATGAAAATCTGTTTGTCATATTGTCTTTTGATTTCTGTGTGATGCTAGTTTCTGTTTTTTTGTCTTTTGAGGTTGTTTATGTCTAATGATTTTGACCTGGTACTTTTAATAGTGCATGTTTACTTTGGTCATCTTATGCCTCACTGATTTTTTATTTTATTTTATTAACCTTTTTAGATTGATATGCAATTAGATATGACGACCTTAGTTTTTGTTGGGTGTGTATTGTCCTCTGTATGGCATCAAATTAAATACAGTGCTGAATTACAAAATGATAATAACCTACTAGTTGTACTTTCTATTGTATATGCTGATGTCATGGAAGCTTTTACTGAGTATTTGAGATTTACTTTGAGGTATAATTTTTAAAATGTTAGAAAGATTATCACCTATTTGTCGCTTTTAGTGTGTTGAGGAATTCTAGATTAACTTGGTTTTCCCTCGTAGAAGCTTTTTGCTCAAAGAGGGAATTTTTATTACATTTAATTTACTTTGTAAATGTTTTTATTGTAAAATAATTTTTATCCCCCTATTTGATAGTTTTTGGTGCATGCATTTTAAGAACGTGTATTTAGTCATAGTATTTCACCAGACAGTTGGGGCATATAGAGAAGGATCTAAAGATTGAAACAGAACAGAAATAAATAACATTTTTGTAGTAAGAGGGGGCAAGTCTGGGTTGCAGAGGCTAGGATTAATCTTATTCTAGGAGGTTGGGATCCAATTTGAACTCTAGAAAATGATGGGAACTAAATAGATCAAAGTATATATAGATAGACAGACAAATAGATAGACTGAAAAGTACCTATTAGGGTGGTTACCTGCAGCATAAAAGATGGCCGAGGGTTTAATGTTCAGATGGTGTAAACCTTCCTGGACATCCTGTTTAGTAGTGGTGAATGGTTATGCATGAGACTTATGTTCGTTTGCTTTTTGCTTTTTGGTCAAAAAGGATTTACAAAGAATGTTTTCTTATTTTATAGGTCACACAAAATATGGAAAGGGAGAAAAATCCTTTTTGTGCAACAAACGCTGTGTAACTAGCTTAAAATTTTCATGTATTGCTGTACATGCTGTATAAACCAAAATTATAGTCTTGTTGGGGGCATCGATATTATTTTTCTTCAGCTTATCCATTCTGAAGGGGATTTATGAAATGCCAACAAGGGTATTTGTTGTTGTAAGGACGTCTTTTGGGTCTTCTGAAGGGGATTTATGAAATACCAACATGGATATTTGTTCTTGTAAGGAAGTCTTTTGGGTCTTACACTCTTATGTCATATACTTCTGCTGAAAACACCGAATGTTATTGTTATAATGATTATTTGCTGCCACCGAGATTAATAGATTTTGGTGATGTATGATTAGTAAGGTTCTGAAAACTGGTTGTGGTCGTCGTAACGGTGGCGGTAGTGCGGTTGCAGTTGCGGGGCATAAAGGCTGTAGTGTAACGGTTGCAATAACCGGAACCGTGATTTTTTTTATTTTTCGCATAATTTGAAAAATATTTACCGATACGCATATTTTTTTTCCATGATCAATTTATTGGGTTAGAAATAAATATTGATCAATTTTTGTAAATTTTTAAGTATGATCCAATATATTTTAAATCACTATAAACTGAGTTTTTTACATTTTATTTTGATAATTAATGACTTTATATTATACAAAAATTCAATCACTAATTATTATATATAAGATAAACAATGACAAAAGTAAGAGAATAAATAAAAGTCTAAATATATATTTATATACACATATTTTAATCAAGCCAAATAGATAATGACCAGGCTTATTATTATTATTATTATTTTCAAACAATATATAAATAGGCACACGTAAACAAAATGGTTGAGTGATAACAGCTGAATAGAATAGCATAGGTCTTACCGCTTCAACCAATCAATAACATGTTCTTCATCTTCCCTCTTCTCTCTCTCTATCTCTTGCTCCTCTATTTTCTCTCTTTATCTTCTCTCTTCTCTCTTCTCTCTATCTTTCTTCTCCCATTTTCAGCTTTTTTTTGTGTGTTTTTTCGAAAGAAATAGTTTGGAACTGTTACGTAATGGTGCGTAACAGGCCGTTACGGCACTGTTACGACTGCTATGGCAGTCGCTACGGCCGACATACCTGTGAATCTCAATTACACTGCAAAAAGCGGCTGTAATGGGTGGCGGTAATCGTTAAAACCGTTATGTAACGGTGTTATGTAACGGTTGCGGTCACTTGTTAAAATCTTAGTGAGGACTAATATAGGTTGGTAATTTTATAACTTGTATGTGCAGTCTTTTGTAGAACCCAAGCCTTTATTATGAGGAGAGTACATGGATTACGTGTATGTACAATGTCTTCGAAAGCTTGAAGATGCATGGAAGAAGTGTGGAAGAAGCTTAGAGATCCATCAGCATGGCATGGACCAAGTAGAGTTCAAGCAAAGTCTCAAAAAGCCTTTGCTATATGAACTTGATTGATCATAGTATGTCCTGAGAGCAGGAAAATCTTTCTTCCACAGTATGGTCAACCAACGTGATAGTTGTGGTCGACTATAGTAGAAGTTCAGGAGGTCCTAGATACCAGACTGCAGTGTGTTCGACCACCCTAGTAGCTTGCCATTTGGTCAAAATTTCAAAAAACTAGCCATTACAAGGTTGGGTTATATATATAAAACATCCCTATTTAGTATTTCCTAATGAGAAACAAGCCTTGTGAGTTCCTAAGCATCTCCTGTACACCTTAGATCACATCTCAAAGAGTTTTCACAAACTTGTGTGTGTGTAGAGAACTTACTTTTCAGAGCCAGTGGGTTCTTGCTTTGTAGAAAGTATAGCTTCTCATTCTTGTGCTATACTATATTGTATATGCACTATTTTCCATCACACACTTGCATTATAAGCTCACATAGAGACAACTTGGAGGCTCTAGGTGAGCAGTACCTTTTTGAATTGGTTAGGATTGTGTTTTGGTGTTTATCGATTTTAGGCGAGTCTAGAAAACCTACTTTATTATTGTAATTATGACATGTTAGTGTGGAAGAGGCTGAGGGTTGATCCTAGAGAAAACCCTTGAAGTTGTGTTGTAAAGGTTTTGGGTGAACTTAGGAAAAGCCGGTGAGGAACTGAGAGTGGATATATGTACAAGGGAGTGGATATAGGTACAAGGGATTGCCACCACTATAAATTCTAGTGTTCATCTCTTTTATATTTCTTGCACTTTATTTTATTTATATATCTTGATTGTATGAGATGATGCATGGTTGTATTGATCTCCGTTGGTGTAATTGCGTTATTTTTATTGAATGGAAGATTACTTGCATGATCATTTCATATCTTTACAAGATTTGAATTTGAATATCTTGAGAATTGCATAAATTAAGGGAAACTTGGATGAGACTTTAGTGAGTGCATTAAAATTACTAAGATAATTGTTTAAGCACCAAATTCAGTTGAACCTTCAGTGAGAAATAAATTGGAATCACTTGGCTTGACTGTTGAGGTCAACTTATGAATCAAGTTGAAATTATTGTACAATTATAACTGTCATTCAGGTGATGGGGTGTTGGAGGTTTTCTGTTTTGTCCTGATAGGAAAGTCACTTTTGATTTCTAGAGCTGCTTGCTCTCAGATTCTTGTGCTTTCTTGTGTTGCTTGCTCCTTGTAGGATCTCAAGGAAGCAAATCCTTGGCCTTGTAGGAGCTCCCAGATTCTTGGAAAGTATTCTTATATCCTTAAGTTTCACATTTTCCTATCTAATGGCAATAAAAATTAGATTTTTCCTTTTTTTTTTTCTTCTTAATGTTTTGTGGTTGTCATTTGCATTTATTTGGATGAAACTTGTCCCATCTTTTGTTGTTCCTAAGACCCTGTTTGGTAGAGCTGTGGGAAAGTGCTTATAGCTTATGCCTAAACAGCTTATAGCTTATAAGTATGAACATAAGCTGATTTCTGACTTATAAATTAAGCATCTCCTGCTCCACTCAAAGAATAAGTTGATTTCTGACTTCCAAAAACTATAAGCTATAAGCTAAACCAAACACATCAAAATAGTTTAAATTAAGTTGAAAGCTGAAATAAGCAGCTTTTAAGCTGCACCAAACAGGCACTTAATATGGTAGTTAATTTTTCTTCATTTTGTACATATATGAAGCTTTTCGTTTCAGACTTGCATCTTTTGTATGTATTTCTTGTAGATTCATTTTTTGAGTAAGAGCAAGATAACTGCTATTATAATTTTCCATCATTTTGCTTGTTATAGTCATAGAAAGGTTAATTTCACGTAAATTCCTTGAATTATTGTCATTTTTCTAATTTTTTTTAAAACTGTCCATTTCATCTATATAGTCATTGGAAATTTGTATAATTGAAAGACAATTGTCTAAATAAGTAACCGTTGAAGCCTGAAGATGATTGCAAGTGAGTTGAGAGCCTATACTGCACGTGAGTGAGATAATAGGTGAGGTATTTGGGTAAATAACTGCAGCAGCACAACTGGATTTTTTAGACTATTTTTTATGTGTCTGAAAGGTTGCTTTCTGAGTTCCCATTTAATCAGAAGATTTTGTTATGAAAATTAAGTGCAAATTATAGCTACATGACAAATGAGAATAAACCTAGTCACTGACCATAGTTGGACCCAACCCACCTTTGAAATGTGCAAGACCAACTAGAGGAGGGATATGTATATATGATTTCCAAATCAGCCCAAGAAACCTCGATGCAAATGGAGCCTCTAAAGAGGGAAAAGTCAAATTATTAAAGTAAATTATAAATACATTCTTTGAGATTTGATTAAAATACAAATTGTCTTCTGTAATTTTGAAAATTACATTTCACTCATTGAGATTTCTAATTTTATAACATTCCCAAAAAATGTACTATCAAAAGGATAATTTTGGAAAATCAACTTTTTTTAAATGCAATAATTGTACTACCAAAAAAAGTTAGATTTCCCAAAAGGGACCATTATTTTGGGACGGAGGGAGTATATGATTTCCAAATCAGCCCAAGAAACCTCGATGCAAATGGAGCCTCTAAAGAGGGAAAAGTCAAATTATTAAAGTAAATTATAAATACATTCTTTCAAGTTTACTTAAATTACATATTATTTTTTATAATTTGAAAAATTACGAACACTCTTTTA